AAAAAAGTAGATCATAACCATATTTATAATAATTTTCCAGGCAAATTTGCCTGGAAAAGCCTACAGTTTAAGGGATATGTATAGTTAATATGAATATCAATGAAGAATTACGTTATGCTACAAAAATTATATCTGATCTAAATATCTGCAACAAAATATTATAAGCCAATCAATTAAAACAAGAGCAGGGATTTAATCATGTGGGATCGAGATTTAAAACAATTGAAAGTAGAAAATACTAACCTTACATATCAACTTATCTAATCACAGATTTTCCATACTAAGTACAAAGCCGAGAATGTTATAAAATCCAATAAAATTAGATTACTTGAGTCTATGATCAAGATATTGAAAAGTAAGTTGTCTTCAGTCCAAAAAGATGTGATTTTGATTCAAAATAACTTATCGAAAAAAGAATCTGAGATTTTATCTCTCAAATCCAAAATAGCTGAATTGGAAAATATAGAGAGCGAATTGAAATCGAAAGCCAATCAGCTTGAGTGCCTGAAATCAGAGGCTATATCGAAACCCATCATTGGTAGAGATGACGAAAAAAATATTACTAAGTCTGATAATATATCTTTGGGTAGTACTGATCTCAGTAAATATTTTATATATGGAAAAAATATGGATCAAACCGAAAAAACCGATGGTAATATATTGACATATACTAATGATGAGATTACCGAACTATCAAAAAATGATACCGAGGCTGACTCCAAGGTAAGTAATGAAACTAGCATTAGCAAAATTAGTGAGGATAATATATCTACTTTAATTGAATTGAATTCTCAGATGAGGCCTAGTCCCGAGGCTTTGCCTCTTCCTGCTGTGGCAAGCACTTTGATGTCACCACTATCAGCATATATTTTTCTTATCTTGTTGATTATTGCTATTATGTGGTTCATTATATTGAGATGCACATGGGAAATAAATAGAAAAAGTGATCGGTTATGAGATACGTAGACGAGATATTAGAAACTATCTATTTAAACTTCAATATTTTTTATGTACGAAAATATAATATATTTTTAACCATGTCTAATATTTGTTGCAGTTGTAAAGAAGTATCATCACCATTATATGCAGATTGCATTGTTATACGATCCTTTATGGTGGTTGGAATGAGATTTCGCGGTAGTCATAAATTTAAGAAATCGGATATCATCACTCTTGAATCAGAACCTTCTAATATACATGACATAAATACAATAAAAGTTATTGTAGATAGTATCTATAAAGCCTATGTGGCAAAGAATGAAAATAAAAGCATTTGAGATTTAATGAAACAATATCCAACTTATCAGGTAAATGCTCATAGAAAGAAAAACTATAATCAATCAGTATCTTTAAATCTCAAATATCCTTAGATAGTTTGTAGGAGATGTCATGATACGCTTCAGGTGTCGAGAAATTATGGTGATGATTATTAACATATTATATTTGAACTTGAGTATTATTTATATATGAAAAAATATTATTAATATTGTATAAGTATTACTAATATAAAGATATA